GGCACACAGGCACACCGACCCACGCTGGGAGAGAAGAGGGGAAGTTCGTCGCACACAGGCAGCATCAAGACCTTATCCTTGGTGGTGCGGTATAAGAAGCAAACAAGAAGAGATCTAGTCACAGCGGATCCAGATGTAAAGCAAACCGTCCTTCTTCATTCCGTGTCTAAATGGCGGCCAATATATATCATTAAAAAAAGTTGTATAACAACGATTTAATGGTCGGTGAAGGACCACAACGTGTGTAGAAGTTCCAGTATTTTTTTCTCTCTAAAGTGTCACTGCGCATCCGTCTGAATGATGGAAATACATTTACTGACGGTGAGTAACCGGATGTTATTGCGTTTCCAAAACTAGAAGAAGTTTGTAAAAACATGAGAATCATATTAACGCTGCGGCGTAAGAATATCAAAGCGGGAACAGCCGCGTTGAATTGGGGAAGTTGTTGTTAAAAGAATTATATATCAGAATAGGTGTTGATAGTTAGGTGCTTCGTAGGCGAAACTCAGCCAGAGGTGAATAACATTGAACAGATACCCAATACAAAAACCAATAACGGCACGGGAATAAAAGCACTGAGGGCGCCATCACTTCCTTGTGAGGATTGATTTTTGTGAAAAGAAGCATTGTCCCCATCTCCACCAGGCGCACCTTCACTTGCATCATTACCGCTGCTGCACGCGCCGCCACCAGCGGGGCACGCGAGGGTGGGGCACACATCCGAGTATCTGGGGCATATAATGCGGCCGTCCGTGAAGGGTGCGCCAGGCGTGACGCTGCTGCCCTCGGGACAGTGGTGCCATGTATCGTCGCCGTGATAGCGCACCTGCAGAGTGTCGCTGCTGTTACACGCTACCTCCACACACACGTCGCCAATGGCGTTTCGTTCAATACTTAGCGACTCCCCTTTTAAGCACCGCGACGTCGGGCCCACACGGCTTCCGGGGAGGGTGTTCAGGTTGTTGGTGCACCCGGCATCCTTCGCCGGCGTGATGACAGGGCAGTAATCCGTCATTTGTACGGCTGAGCCACCAAATGACGCATTTGCAAAATACTGATACTGCGGCTTCAGCGCCTCGTTGTACACGACAATGTCACAAAATCCAAGATACAGACGGTCAGACGTGCAGCGCGGAACACCGGAAGAACCGTTGCAGAACATGTCGGGGTAGTCCGTGATGTTGTTCGTCATGCATTTATCTCTGATAAAGCTGCAACCGGTGTTGTTGCCCCAGCTCATCAGCTCTTCCATCCCCCAATTAGCTTTGTACAGCCCTGTATCTTCAAAAGCAGACATCGTCAGCGCCGAGTAGAAGCCAACACTAGCAACTCCAGCCATCAGTTCATCCTTTGCATTACGTCGCTTCCAGTGCGACAAAGCTGTCCCCTCATCGCCCTCGTCCTCCAGCTCCATACCAGGGGCAGTCGAGCAGTTAAAGTGCTTCCGGGTGGCCTGAAGTGTCTTCTTCGATGACACCACAAACGCAGTAGTCTTGCCACGCAACCCTTCTACCCTCGAGATCATTCCCTGTTCCGCAAAGAGGTACGCAGAGAAACCAAGGGCATGCGCTATTTCGTGGGCCGCAGCGCGAATGACGACCCGATTTGCCGCAATGTGTTGTGGACCAAAGTTTATGACACCAACGGACGGTCGGCCGCTCGTCAGAGTAGAGCAAAAAAGGCTCCATGCGGCGTTTTCGCCAACAGTTGGCCCAGCAGCAGCGTACAGAACCATGTCAGCACCGGAAACACCAGGATCGCGGTGATCAGACGGAATCGTGAAGTACACACACGCGCTAACGACAAAACGGCGCACCACTATAACATTCTCCGGAACCACAAGAAGACGATCGGAATGCAACTTAATTGCCTCTGGCAAGAGCTGGTCAATGAGGAGAGCCTTTTTATCGGCGGTCAGGATATCGGAGGCATTGCACGTAACATTCCTTCCCACAAAGTTTGGGCGTTCCTGTCCTTCCGCAGTGCAATACCGCAGCTCATTCTTCAAGTCCTCCGTGAAGACCTTGATGCGAATCGGCTCCCACCCAGGCGCAGCTGCTGTGTATGCCTGCCATGCGCCCTGTCTCCTTTGCGCCACCTCCCGCACAACCGCTGGTGGGCCACTGCTCCGCATCACCTGGTCAAAGTTGCAGCTATGTCCAACGGCGGCGAGGCAAACGCAGGTGCATTGAAGCAGTACCACATGTAACAAGTGCAGACCCATCTGCCGAGTAGAGAGCATCTTCCGAAACAAAATCTATAAGAGAAAACAAAGAACAAAAAGGAGTCACTCACCCGGTCCTATTGCTCAAACAGCACGCATGCTTCAACGAGGGTTAAACCACCATATCGCCACATACCAAAGAAAGCAAAGCGACCCAACCCAAAAACCGCACACAATGAGACACACTCCAATCATCGCCCACACAACCCCCAAAAAGTTACAAAGTCTGTCAAGCACAGACACACCGACACACGCCGGGAGAGAAGGGGGGAAGTTCTTCGCACACAGGTCTCGCACAGTGTCGGCACCGACACGGCATCAGCTAGCCACTGACGGTTTCTTCTTCTGCGCTCACACGTCCAGGCTCTCACGCACCTCAGGATCCCGCAGCAGGAGCAGTCACGCCTACCGAGAGCATTAAATGCGTTGGGGAGTGGGAGAAGGGGGCTCGTGCGCGACGCCAAGGCCGCACGTGGAACCGCGGGCGCAAGGAACCGTTGCCTGCACCCACGGCAGCAAGAGGGGGGTAGCACGCAGCCATCAGAGAAGCCCCGGGAGGGACCACCGCCACTGTTCATTTCACCGCGCAGGGCGCATCGAAAAAGGTACACTCAGTTAGCGAGATCATCACGCCGCAGCGACAACACAGGGGAGCAGCGAGGCGTGGCGGGACACACCGGCGTAGCGGCGACATCTTCGGGACTACCAGAAGGCGCCGCAACGGCACGGCAGAGCACATCGGCGCCTCGGATTGCCCCGTTGCACACACACGCCCACCCACCGCACGCACACACACACGCACACATCAAAGCACAGGCACACAGGCACACCGACCCACGCTGGGAGAGAAGAGGGGAAGTTCGTCGCACACAGGCAGCATCAAGACCTTATCCTTGGTGGTGCGGTATAAGAAGCAAACAGGAAGAGATCTAGTCACAGCGGATCCAGATGTAAAGCAAACCGTCCTTCTTCATTCTCTGCCTGAAGACCCCGTTAACTACTTTACAATAAACTACGTATAGCAAGAAGACTTCAACGTGACCAAAGGCTAGTAAGCGAAGCCAAGACTCAGTTTGTTTCATCTCGGTATTTCGCCTCTGCATTCCTGGCCGAATAATGCGGATGTATTTACTGACGGTGAGTAACCGAATTTTATTGCGTTTCCAAAACTAGAAGAAGTTTGTAAAAACATGAGAGTCACATTGACGCTGTGGCGTAAGAATATCAAAGCGGGAACAGCCGCGTTGAATTGGGGAAGGTGTTTTCAAAGAATTATATATCAGAATAGATGTTGACGGTTAGGTGCTTCGTAGGCTAAACTCAGCCAGACGCGACCACCATCAGATAAACCACAACAGCAATACAGAGCAGAGGCACTGCGAGAAACCCACTAAGGCCGCCATCAGCTGTCCATGAATAACCCACCCTGCTAACCGCTTTGCTTTGCCGTTTCTGTCGCACGATGATTGTAATATTTCCAAACCCCGCATTGCCTCCCGCTACACCTTCACTTGCATCATTACCGCTGCTGCACGCGCCGCCACCAGCGGGGCACGCGAGGGTGGGGCACACATCCGAGTATCTGGGGCAT